TTCCAAAAAGGGGTCGTTTTGGGGGGTGGGGGCATTTTATGCCCAGCATTAGAAGTTTATGCCACACATCATTCACTCTTCTAACCACCTGAAGACCAAGCCTTTTTGTTCACATAAAAAAAATTAGTATTTTTTTGCTAGGAAATTAATTTAAACCCCCAAACATTATATATTTTTTTAAAGCAGACACCCTAGTGAATAAAATGATGGGTACTACAATTTTTTATGGCACATAGTACTCGCGCAGCAATTCTTTAAAAGCAAATTGTTTTAAAAAAAATACACTTTTTTACTTTTAATGCACAAAAACACAATATATTGGCCAATTGTTTGGTAAAATATAAAGGATAATGGTATGCCGAGTAAATAGATACCAAACATGACATGCTTTAAAACTGCGCATGCCCCGTGCAATGGCGACAAACTGCAAACATTTTTAATATCCATAGGCAGAGCTTTAAAAGCCTTTAAAAGCTACCATTTTAGATTTACATAGGAGGTCTAGTGTTAGAATTACTTCCCTTGATCTGAAGTTCACGGCAATACCTCACATGCATGGTACAACCGCTGTTTACACTTCATCCTGGTATAACCATTCAAATCCAGTGATGTACCAGTACATCGCTGGTCCTTGTTGGTTATATATGCTATGTTCTTTTTTTTTGTATGCAGCCTGTGGAATGAATGAAAAAATGAGAAGAAATCTCTGCCAGAAAAAGTGTGTAGTATGCCCACCATTAGAATATACTGCCCTGCATCCACCCACTTCTAATGGTGGGCACACATTAGGTCACACTTTGCCAAAAGTGCCAGTTCCAAGATTGAATAAATGTCTAAATAGTGGTACGCTTGAATAAAAATTGTCCACGTATAAGTGGTACCCCATATGGAGAAATGATGACACCAAGTCCCAAACTATCTTGCCACTGCTCCCCATGTAGTCTGGGCATCCGGGGGGGGGGCTCCACGTGGCTATCTTTTCCCTTGTAAATCCAAAAATAAGTATAGCCTGGTGTCCTCTCATAGGTCTTCTACATCTTGACCCCATATCTGGCACGCTTGCAGGGGAGAAATTGTTTGAATGCAAGGCGGCCAGAAAAATTAATGAGGGACTCCTCAACGCAGATGTTTTGCTGGGGAGTATAGACATCTGCACATTTTTGGTTAAGGTGATTTGCGAGGGGCTGAATTTTGTGGAGCCGGTCAAATTCAGGGTCACCCTGAGGATGACAGAGTGTATTGTCATTAAAATGCATAAAACACATTATACTCTCATATCTATGCCTGGCCATGACAGCAGAGAACACGGCATATGATGAATCGGGTCTGCTGACCAATACAACCGCAATTCATTTCTTTTAGTAATGCCCATGTTGAGGGTTAGGCCCAAAAAAAATGTAAATTTGAAAACCGTAATGAGTTTCCATGCAAATGGTCTGGCAAGGTTTGAATTTGGGTTGGTGGCGATAAATTGTTGTTCATATAAATTGCTTTGATCCACAATCAACGCATACAGATATTCCGTGAAAAACAGCTCCAAAAATCAAGGAGGTATGTGAAAGACCAGGATGTACTAGATCGCTGGTACTCGCCAGTTCGCCAAAAGGTAGAGCGGCACTAGTACTGGCACTTTGCTGCATATGAGAGTCATCAAAATTTTACCGGCAAGTGCTAACAGAGATCAGGCCTGATTCTGCGCGAACAGTGCGGTTTTGTGTGCAATGTATCAAGTGACAGTGACCCACTGACACTGCACTTGCTGGGGGAGAAGGGGGGTAAGCGTAGGGGCTAAATGCAGGTGATGGCAGGTGCCGGGGCTGATCCCACTAACGCTGCGTTTTTGGGGACGCTATATTAATGTGAACGCTGGTATAGTGCTGACCTGATCAAAGATATTGACCAGTTCAGATGCTATACTAGCAATGGAGGATTATTGTACATGCGCATGTTCCTGGCAATCAAGGGTAAATGTGATGACTGGTGTACTGACGGGCAATCTGACGCTATCTGGGAGGGGTTTGAAAACCATGGGAGCGCAAATCATGTATATATATGTGATTTTGCGCACCCATGCTGCCCTGTAGCAGTATTTCTGCTGTAGGGTGGTCAGAAGGCGGTTACAGAAGAGGTTTGTGTTACGGCGCTGCGTTACTTTAACGGTCATGCAACACTGCACCCAAATTAAATTTACATCCTTTTTTTCCCACAAATTGAGCTTTCTTTTGGTGGTATTTGATCGCCTGTGCGTTTTTATTTTTTTGCGCTATAAAAAAAAGGCTGACAATTTTGAGAAAAAAAAAACAATATCTTGGACTTTTTGCTATAAAACATGTCCAGTAAAAAAAATTAAAAGATCAAATTTTGTCACAAATTTCATCCAAAATGCATTCTGCGACATGTCTCTGCTAAAAAAAAATCCCAATACGTGTAAATTAATTGGTTTACATGAAAGTTATATTGTTTACAAATGGCGGGAAAGATACTGGGATTTTTAATTTTTTTTATACTAATAATGGCGGCGATCAGCGACTTATGGCGGCGATCAGCGACTTATGGCGGCGATCAGCGACTTATGGCGGCGATCAGCAACTTATGGCAGCACTGCGGGACTGCGGCGGACATTTTGACACTGGGGGGGAACTGACTTGGGGTCACTGACATCCCCAGTGACACCAATACAGTGATCAGTGAAAAAAAAAAAAACACTGACACTGTACTAACGGCACTGGGGAGGAAGGAGTTTACATTTTTTTTCCACTGAAAGGATTAACTGTGTTAGGGGAGTGTTTTACTAGGGGGCTGGGGTGTGTACTGCAGGGAGACAGCTGATCGGGACAGATAAACTCTTCTGTCCCGATCAGCTTGTCAGGAGCTGACAGGTAACTGACAGAGAGCAGGGCTGTGTGTAAACAATGCAGCCCTGCTCTCTGTCAGTGATTGCCGCTGCTGACACCCGCGGGACAGGTAGGGCGGGCGTGCGCCCCCTACCTGTTTTGCAAGACCACATTTTAAAACATGGTTTTGCGCAGCCGTGTCGCCCTGCAAACGTTTTGATACAGTGGCTGGGGCTCAAGTGGTTAAAGTAGTAATATATGAAATTTCAATAAAAAATTGAGCATTCTAGACTTTATCAGAAGTCTGTTTTAGAGACACATAGGTTATTTAAATCCTTTAGCTCCTTTTTATTAATATCTATATTAACCTCCCTAGCGGTATGATTATTTCCGATTTTTGGTGCTGAAAGCGGTACCATTATTCTGCATGGAAATATGTAGTTTTTTTATTGTAGGCTGTAATATTTAGGAATAACTCACTGAAATCTGTCCGAACAAGAGTCTATTAAACATCCCAGGTATGATAAAATTTGAAACACAAAATCATAAATTATAATTTAATAAATAATCATAAAAAATAATAATATAATAATATTACATTTAATTCAATAATATAATCAAACCAAAAACACTGAAATTTGAAATATAGCGCCAAGTTCGCACATTGCTGAGCAAAGTAGCAAAATCGTTTTCAGTGTCTGATGACGAATTTCTCCACGAATCATTATCTCTCAATTCTGCAAGTGGTTCTGATTTACTATCGCTGTTCTCTAGCTGATCTAAACCCGCTTTTGACCTAAAGGGACGCTTTTTGAATGCCGTAGACTTTTCTAAGTTTCCAGGCAGAAAGAACATTCAAAATGCAGACAGGGGACAGGACAGAGCACTAGGGACAAAATGTATGTGAAATGGGTTGAAACAGCAATGTTTTACTATGAAAAATCGTTTTGAAAAAATGAATTTTTTTTTAAATTTTCAAATTTCCCGCCGCCGCCGGCTCCCGTACGTCCCGACGTCACAGGGACCGGAACACAGGAGCCCGATGCCGGCATCTGCCGGAGCAGATGGCCAGGGATGCTGCAGGGGACACATCGCGGGAGCGAAGGACAAGGTAAGTGCTGCAGGGACTCCCAAGTATAGCTCGGGGTTACCGCTTTTGGAATAGAAATTTTACCCCGAGCTACACTCGGGAATACCGTTAGGGAGGTTAAAGTCTCAGACATTTAGCATTCAATGAGAATTCCACTATTTACTTTTATGCATAATGTTTTTTTTTTTTATTATTACCACCACCTTTTATGCTCAAACATCACCATGTAACATTATGTTCTGCAATAAAAACATTTTTGTTTGTCCTTTCTTACCTATACACTTATTTTGGACATACAGGTACTGTATATCATTGTTTCACTTTACAGCTGATGTGTTAGTAAGACATATTCTGCTCTAACTCAACAGGTGAATAGTGCTGTTTGTATAGAATGATACTTCCATGACACCTCGTCTCAGGTGTATATGAATCGACTAGCTTTTTCAATGAGTCCGCCAACATCTGACACAATAGCGTTTATTTACTAAAGGCAAATAGACTGTGCACTTTGCAAGTGCAATAGCACCATGCAAGGACATTTGTTCCAGAGCTTAGTAAATGAGGAAAACTTTCACTGACTTCCATCATCTAATCATGTGTAAGCAAAAATGCTTTTTTCTTTATTTTTTTCTTGCACATTATTGGGTATTCTTTGCAAATTGAAGCTTGATCTAATTTTCTAAACTCTGGGGCAAATACCCTTGCAGAGTGCAAGTGCACTTGCAAAGTGCAAAGTCTATTTGCCTTTAGTAAATCGACCCCAATACTACCAGGTCTACCAGGAAGGTGTTACAAAATGTTCTGTGTCTTAGGTAAAGCACAGGGGGAAAAAATAAAAATAGGACTATCCTGTTCAACTTGCCAGCCTACCCCAGTCTAACAAGGATAGGTATAACTTATCAAAGAGGGGGATAAGAAAGCCAGTTCAAACTGCCAGCCAGTTAGCTAACTATCAAAAACCAAATTAACCTGTCTAAGAACATGCGTTTAAAAACAGGGGTTTAGTTAGCACACATTTGCAAATACATACGTAAGCCACAGAGCCACATCACGGCACCTTGAATATCTGTGGTCCTAACTAGAGATGAGCGAATCGAACCAGGCGAAGTGGAATTCGTTTCGAATTTCAGGAAAAATTTGATTCGTGCCGAATCCGAATATTAGCCAACTTCGGGTGCGCGAATCGGATTTTTCCCGATCAGCCGGCAAAAAGTGTCCCTGCAGAGAGCTCCGCTATTTCTGACAGTTCTCTGACAGTTCCTTCACATTTACAGCGGTTGAAACATTGTATCTATTTGTTTCCATTTAGGATACAGATGTTTTTATTCGGAAACAGATACAATGTTTCAACCGCTGTAAATGTGAAGAAACTGTCAGAGAACTGTCAGAAATAGCGGAGCTCTCTGCAGATACACTTTTTGCTGTACTGGAATACTACTTCTTTTCATTCTTTTTTTCATTCTTCTCATTCTTCTTTTCATTCTTCTTTTCATTCTCTCTCTTCTTCTTTTCATTCTTCTTCTTTTCATTCTTCTTTTCATTCTTCTTTTCATTCTTCTCATTCTTCTTTTCATTCTTCTTCTTCTTCTTTTCATTCTTCTTTTCATTCTTCTTCTTCTTCTTCTTCTTCTTCTTCTTTTCATTCTTCTTTTCATTCTTCTTTTCATTCTTCTCATTCTTCTTTTCATTCTTCTCATTCTTCTTTTCATTCTTCTTCTTCTTCTTTTCATTCTTCTTCTTTTCATTCTTCTTCTTCTTTTCATTCTTCTTTTCATTCTTCTTCTTCTTCTTTTCATTCTTCTTCTTCTTCTTTTCATTCTTCTTTTCATTCTTCTTCTTCTTCTTTTCATTCTACTTCTTCTTCTTTTCATTCTTCTTTTCATTCTTCTTCTTCTTCTTTTCATTCTTCTTCTTCTTCTTTTCATTCTTCTTTTCATTCTTCTTCTTCTTTTCATTCTTCTTTTCATTCTTCTCATTCTTCTTTTCATTCTTCTTCTTCTTCTTTTCATTCTTCTTCTTCTTCTTTTCATTCTTCTTTTCATTCTTCTTCTTTTCATTCTTCTTTTCATTCTTCTTCTTCTTTTCATTCTTTTTCTTCTTCTTTTCATTCTTCTTCTTCTTCTTTTCATTCTTCTTCTTCTTCTTCTTCTTCTTCGTCGTGCCCCGTGACTGCCCAAATGAGTGAAGTGTGCGGTGATTCTAAGATCGACGGCACTCATCTGCATGTCATACTGACTGACAGTATTATTTCTCTTCCCCAGCAGACTCCAAGGGCATTTAAATTAAAGGTACAGTGTTCTGCACTAATATAAAGGCTCTCTGAAGCCTAGAAACCCTTTTAATTAGTTAAATTTGCAGCGAATAAATTCGCATCGAATCGAATTTCTCCCGCAAATTCGGCGAATCAGCCGAATCGAATTTTTGAATAATTCGCTCATCTCTAGTCCTAACTCTATAAATCTTTGAGAGTCCTCACAATGGAGGCATATGCATTTAAATGGATAGAAACAAGGGCAGGTGAACCCTGAGGGAGCCCACCCCTCATTAAGGTTATTGGAGCACACCTTGTCAGAGCTGGTAGGTTAATTGGATCCTGTCTAAATTGGCCCTAATATGTGTATGTATAAATGTAATTTAGGGACCTTAGATTGTACACCCCTTGAGGGTTAGGGACTGATGTGAATGTACAATATATATGTGTAAAGCGCTGCGTAAATTGACAGCGCTATATGAGTACCTGAAATAAATAAATAAATGTATTTGAACTATAAGTTTAGCTTTTTCCCTGGACTTCAGCTTTAACTTGAGCTCTATGATGCAGGGCATAAAATACACAATTTTTTTTAGGAATTACAATGAATTTAAGCCTTATTTGAATGTATCTACTCAAACATACATGTAATGCAATCACATGTAATAAGAAAAGCACTGCTTCAACCTCTGGCAGCATGACGACAACAGCACAGGCTCCACTCCGACGTGTTTCATCCAATGGGACATTTTCAAGGGGTCTCACTGGACGAAGTGCATTGGGACAAAGCCTGTGCCGCCGTCTTCTAGCCTGCCAAAGGTGACGGTGGTGCTGATCTTACTACATGAGATTCCATTACATCAATATGTGAGTAGGTATACAGTATATACAGTATATCAAATAAAACCTAAAGGTTGCACTATGGGATGCCTGTATATTTCTTTTATGACATAAAATGCATGAGGGAGGTGAAGTGCTGGTAGTGAATCCCGGCTGATATGACCTGCGGTTTCCAAATGCCTTTGGAGTATCCTGCTGCTGTGATCCTCATTGAAGATCTCTGTTCTGTGGGGGGATGATCCCTGATTCAAACATGCTGTTTTAGACCACCTATAGTTTGGCGTCTACTCAATCTGTAAGAGACTGTATGTGGTGGTGGTGAAATTCATTGAAGGTAATGCTATCCATCACATGTGGAGGAAACGCAGTTTGCATCTATGGAGGGGTGTTGGAACTCTTCTAAATGTAATAGTTTGCTAAGTTTTGGACTTAATTTGATTTATGTCACTAGTGATGGTGGAAGTCAGTGATTGTTTTTGTATTTTTTAAATGTTTTGCGTATTGGACTATTGAAATAATGGTGTTACCTACTGGTTTACACAAACTACCTATTGCAGCGCTCCTTCAGCATTACCTATACCTCTGTCTCCTCCTCTACACTTCCTCTTTCTGTAGGGGTCCCTCAAGGTTCTGTCCTTGGACCCCTTCTCTTCTCCATCTACACCTCCTCCCTTGGTCCCATGGCCTTAAGTACCATCTCTATGCTGATGACACACAAATCTATATTTCTACACCTCACCTCACCCCTTCAATCTCCTCTCGCATTACTAACCTACTAACTGACATATCAGCATGGATGTCACTCCACTTCCTCAAACTAAATCTTTCCAAAACCAAGCTCCTATTTCCTCCAGCCTGTGCCCCCTCCTCTGACTTCTCCATCAAGATCAATAATACAACTATCAGTCCCTCCCCTCATGCCAGGGTACTAGGTGTAATCCTAGACTCCAATCTGTCCTTTCAGCCCCAAATCCAATCACTGTCCAAATCCTGTAGACTTCACCTCCGCAACATCCCCAAGATACGCACGTTCTTAACCTCTGAAACCACTAAGCAACTTATTCACTCCCTTGTTATCTCTCGCCTTGACTATTGTAACTCCCTACTCATTGGCCTACCTAATCACAGGCTATCCCCTCTTCAGTCTATCATGAATGCTGCTGCCAGATTCATCCACCTTACTAACCATTCCATATCTGCCTTCCCTCTCTGCCAATCCCTCCACTGGCTTCCCATTGCCCCACAAATAAAATTTAAAACATTAACAATAACATGTAAAGCCATTTGTATCTCTGCCCCAAATTACATCACCAATCTTGTTTCCAAATATCACCCACACCGTCCTATCCGCTCCTCACACGACCTGCTGCTCTCTAGTTCCCTTGTCTCCTCCTCCCATGCTCGTCTCCAGGACTTCTCCAGAGCCTCCCCCATCCTCTGGAACTCTCTACCCCAAACTGTCCGACTATCGCCTACTCTGTCCACTTTTAGGCGATCCCTGATAACCTATCTCTTCAGGGAAGCCTGTCCAGCCTTCAGCTAATAACGGAATATTCTATTCCTCCTATCAGTTCATCCCCCACAGTTATTACCTTTTGTACCACCAGCCCCTCCCTCTTAGATTGTAAGCTCCAAGGAGCAGGGCCCTCCTATCCCTCTTGTATTGAACTGTATTGTTGCTGTATTATCTCCCTTTATATTGTAAAGCGCTGAGCAAACTGTTGGCGCTATATTAACCCTATATAATAATAATAACAATAATAATAACTGGGGTTTATTTACTAAAACTGGGAGTGCAAAATCTGCCGCTCTGCACAGAAACCAATGAGCATCCCAGTGTCTTTGTCAAAGCTTAATTGAACAAGCTGACGTTAGAAGCTGATTGGCTTTTATGCACAGTTGTACTGGATTTTGCAGCTTCCAGCTTTAGTAAGTGAACCCCACTGTTTTAACCTGACATTAGGATTAGTAGCTAGAGCGGTGACATTTCACATGCATAATTCACCTTTAAAGACACAGCATAACATTTATTTTGCTTTTCACTTATTTTATGCACTGGTATTGGGTGTTTCTTGAGTGCAGTTGTAGAAGATTTTGATTTGTGTTTTATTGATTTATTGGTTTATAAGCACAAAACTCAGTTTATTTGTTTTCGCTTTTGTTTGAATTAATAATGCAATCAGTGAACTGAAAAAACTGTCTGGGAAACATTGCAGCTGTGCTAATATCGGAAAGACTACACTGTTACCTTAATTTTAGTTTTATACAATCTACTAATGTCAAATTCAGTTAGGTGAGATAGTGGTCTATCCGAAACAACTTCCTTTTTTGGGAACAACAAACATGGGAATATCTGGTCTCTATTTTTGAAAACTTGAATGCAGAGTTTTATATGAAACCACTAAAGTGAGTAAAATATGAATTTGAGGATGAAAAAGTTTTTTTGTGCTTGTAATTTACACATTCTTGATGCCATACATAATCTCCTTGCAGCACTGTATGTGACCTTTATAATTATCGGACAATTAATCAGATCTGTCATACTTTTCAATGTTGATTGGTTATGCACAGTGGGTATAAGGGTTCTTTACTTTCCCATATTATAATCAACCATTTCAAATACCTCAGTTAATTATCTTTTTTCCTTCTAGATCTTCATTTTATATAATCTGATGCAAATGATCTCAATGAAATTATAGAATGAGTTAAAAAAAAAAAACACTTTCCCTTTTTCATTACTTTTTATCAACAGTCATTACAAATGGATCCATTATGGTTTGCTAGTTTCATTTGTATCTTTAGTGGATTGACATTAAACCTTTGTTACATGCACTTCCACAGATTTTAAAAAAAAACCTTGTTTTCTATACATTTCTGTTCTGAAATATATCAGTTGCTGTCACACTTTCATATTTGAATCCTAATGTAAACTACAACTTGAGATTAACTTGATTTTTGTTAAGTTCTTTTGATTTGCTGTGTATATATTTTATTTAAACCTTATTTGCAAGTTAAAGTATAAGAAGAGCCAAACTATAATTATTCTTAAAAATGACCCCCCCAACCTTTCCTGCCTACCCTATATAAAAAGAAGTGTACTTAACTATTTTTAAATCTGCTCTGGTATTGTCATGCGATCCTGCAGCTGTGGCTTCCCTGTGAATGGGAGTGCTTGACAACGGCTGTGAATTCCAGTAGCTGTGACATCACCCATAAGCTCTCATGGCCAAGCCATTGTTGGCACTTTTTCTTCTCCCCTGCAGCAGCTGCTCACTGCGGGGGGTGAAAGCTGCAGAATCACATGACTTGACTAGATCAGATTAAAAATAGGTAAG